TAGTTGACACAGAGGGAACTCCCATAACGGTGCACTCGGCAGGAGTATGGCCCCACGGCTCGTAGTAACTTGGAAATACACCGATATGACAACGGCGCACAAATTCTTCGTAATCAAGGCCAATCACGGAAGATAAAAATTCTACAAAAACTTTGACCAGTATGTCGCAATATCGATAATAAAAGTTGAACACAAGTCAACTCATAAATCGAATCAAAATTTTTTTGGACGATATCTATGAGATGAACTTCAAAATCTGTGCAATCTGCATTCAACGATGGCAAAAATGAAAAGACGAAAAACTAAAAGCCATGAAATTCGCACAAGCAAATAATTTGTGCATCGGAATTTGAATCTTGAGAATTTGAGTGAGTGAGTGTGTGGATATTAGCATTAGTCGAGTAGAGTTGTCCTGAAGTGAATGCCTGATTGCATGCTTATCATGAGGCGCAACTGGCCATCAGTTAGCGTGTTTGATTACTACTTCGTCTTATTTTCTTCTTGGTTTTGTAATGTTTGGGTTAGTAGCATGTGAACTTGCGGTGCTGCTCAGTATGATGTTCATTGACTGTTTATAAAGTAGTATTAATAGACTAAATACATTTCAGACTACCAAGCTGAACCTCAAATGAAGTACCCTTCTCCATCGATCACATGAAACTTTAATTGGAGAGGAGAAGGATTTCGACATGAGCCTGAATTTTGGTGGTATCACTATGTACCGCCAGCTAACTGGAATTGCTCCCTACAAGGATGGGAGCGCTATTTTTTTTAAAATAACTTCTTAGTGAGTTCATTTCTATTGTTGTTTTTTTCATTAAACTTGACTCACTAATACGTGTGTAAGTTGTATTACTCAAACAAATATTTATTATTATCATATTCGTCTAATTTTTCCTGGCTTAATAAATATGTACATGTATATTTGTTATTTTCAGAAATGAAAGAAATTAAGCTAAAGAGACGAGTATCAACAAGCATAGCCACGTCAGCATGGATGTTTTGGCTCCTTGGACAAAGGGTTTATCTAGACATGAAGGAGAAATATCTAGTGCTGATGAAAGAAGCGGAGGGCGGGGAATAAACCGAACAAAGTGGACGCAGAAAATAACATCGGAGAGCGCTGACCCACTTACACTTGATCAAATCCCTCATAGAACGGACTTTGGCCGGTGAAAAACTTGGCCAAAAAACGTGTGAGGGAGATGAATCTGATGCTTGCTTTCGTACATGATGAAGATAAAGCTTTAAGCATATCAACAAACCGTATGAAAATTTGCGAAAGTAAAACAAAAAGTCATGAGACTCGATGTGGTTTCAAAATCGAACACGCCAGATTCAAGCTGTTCACAAGACGGTTCTATAGAATGTGACCGATGAGCAGCCTGTTTGCTACATTACGTAAAGGAAATCAGGGACTTTTGGGGTCAGATGTGGACATCCGACATAACAAATACCGTGAAGAATTCGCTTCAGATCATGAAGTGCATGCTACTTTCCTCTCTCAAGCCGAATTTGGAAAGGTAATTTTCTATTCGCTCAGTTTCAAGACTGCAGAATCTGATGGAGTCTACAACATCTTTATTAAGAAGTGCACTTCCTCGCATCCGGATTAAGAGGATTGTAAAAGTAGTAAGAAGTATTTAATAATTTACCTGGATGGAGAGCAACAGAATTCGCGGTCTTACAAAGGAATTAGCTCCCTGATTCTAAGAGGTATCTTAAGTAAAGGCAGCGATTTTAGGCCAATAACTTGTATGTCAGCGATTTTAGGCCAGTAACTTGTACGTGAAAGGTACGATAAAGTCCGACAAAATGAAAACGATGAGCACAAGAAATCTGAGCGCGAAACGAGTACGGCCAG